GTCAAATTGGGGCGGAACGGCGTTTTACCTCTTGAGGTTTCAAGGCATTAAATTTCCTGTTTTTTATTATTATTATTATATAGGAAAAAAGAAGTGTTCCGTTGTACCACGCTGTGACCCACGCTGCTACTGAAAAAGTGCTCCTCCCAATAGCACAGCGGAATACCTGCGGACTTACAACGCTAGAATTCGGGTTTCGATACCCGTGGTGGGCAGAGCACAGATAGCCCATTGTGTAGCTTTGTGCGTAATTATAAACAAACAAACTAAAAAAGTGAATCGCAAAAGGAAATTTCACCCCTTACAAAATTATAATTTAACCACTGTTTAAAATACATCAAAATGAAGCTAATAATGCAGTTTTTAAACATACAATTAAGAATAGGAAACAAAACCAAACATACTCGTAGTACTAAGTCAATTAATATAGATAAGTTATCTTTTAAAATAGTTTTTTTTACCTTAATGTTTTTATAGTAACGTGCATGACTCATTTCGCCGACTTGCGAAAACAACAGAAGTCCGACGTTTCTTTGTTTAACCTATATTACAATCAGAAGCATTTCATTATCTACAAACTACAAAAACAGGATAGTCTAACACTTGAGATGAAAATTTGATGGTTTTTACTGAGAGATGGAGCTTACTTTATGTGTTCTCTATTGGCCAATAATTAGATGATGTCTTCTTGGAAAAATACTTCTGGATAGCTAAGGCTATAAAACTGGCGACTCCACAGCACATAAAAATTATCACCCTGTTTCTGTACCTTTGTTTTCTTCTACACTATTGAAAAAGATCATTAACGATTGGTTAATATCTTTCTTCAAAAGGTAGAACAAAATTTCATCAAACTAGTAAGGTTCTCTGTCAAAAGTTGATATTTGGTTCTCTGCTGTGGGTACTTAAATTTATTTCAAGATAATATTACATTGGGCTCTTAAAAGGTCACATTTAGATTTAATCAGAATTTTCATTTATAATCAAACATATTATGTTAATGAATTAGGAATGTAGTTTGAGTTGTTACTGGGTTTTTGTTTCAGTTAATTACAGTGTAGTGCAGGGACCTGTTTTACAAATCACATTGTTTTTGCCATGACAAAATACATTTGATTAAAATATGACACTAAACTATAACCTGATATACAACTATTGTCTGTAATGATTGTGATATTCAAAGTTTGTAGACTGGAATTAATTAAAATTCAGTTATCCTGACTAAATCACTTTATCTGAAAGAGGCTACGATTTCGGTTTTTATGACGTGATAAAAGAAACTTTAACACAAAAGTAATATTTCGTCTAATAACGTTGTTATTGAAGAAATAATTGAAATTCACAATTTGACTTTACAGTATGCTGCGTTGGCATTCTCATATTTCTTAGGTTCTAAAAAATAAAGTGCTTTTATAGCGACAATTCACTGCTTTGTAACACGCAGTAAACTTAAAATATGGTGTAACTGGCTTGACTAAGATAATCCCTCTTTATTTTAACTTTTGGTTTTTCAAATTCTGCTGTTACTGGTAAATTCACATTGTAATACAGTTATAAAGTTTTAACATTATTGTCTTCCACCCGCTAATTAATTGTTGCAAATTACAAGTCTGCGGTTAACTTATCAAATTGGAAGATCGCTCTTGTTGAAAAAGCTATAAAAATGATAGGTTGATGGAACTGAATACCCAAACCTGCTGATCGGCAAATTGAAAGAGTTTTATATTATAAAATGCCACCTCACATACAAAAATTAATGCATACTAAACAAACTTAAATAAAATTTTAATACTCAGAGAAAATTGTACATACTTTTTACTAACACTTGTGCATGCGTATGCATGGTAACCGTTCGTAGAACAGTGATTAGCGAGCCAACACTGCGCATCTAAGGATTAATGGTTCGCTACACTTTACCGTAAAAATACGTTCCGCAATTACGAGCCATGAGTGAGGCTATAATAGCGACAGCCAAATCCAACTGTTAAGTTAGACAAGAGTATGCGGGGGGTACTTTTGACTAGCTGCTTTCACTTTAGTCTAATAGTTCAATAATTAGAGACA